TTTTTTAAGTAATTAATTATTAATCAGGTGGTAATATCGGTATTTAATCATTAAACGGTTATCCAAAAAAACATGCTTTAATTAATAATGAATATGAATATTAATCATTTAGGGGATTCCCTTAAACTTTTAAAGTCTTAAACTGTGTAAAACTCGTAAGTTTACGAGGCTTTTACGGGAACGCCCCCTTTGTGAAAAGGTGCGTAAACTGACTGTTTGACAGATAAACCAGGATTTTGTGAAGCAATTTTTGTTTCGTAGTATTTTCCATAACATCCCGCCATCTTGTCTCTACCAGTATTAGCTAAGATAAAATTAAAAATGCCGAAAATTAGCAGAAAACTCATGATAGTACTGTTAGTGGATGAAATTCACTCTTTTTATTCACATATTATTATTTTTCATTTATTTTCAATATTATAAAATACATTTTAGTATATAATTTTCCGCTCCTCGGCAATACTGAAGTGTACGAGGTCATTTGCGCATCAAATTTGCCTCGTAATTTTACAAGGGGCTCGTAAATAGAGCTCCATACAAATTTTGACAGTTCTTTTACGAGGCTCGTAAATTTACGAGGTTTACGAGGCTTTTACGAGTTTAATGGAAGACCCTTTAAAAGGTCTGGTTTAATTGAANACAGGTAAACCAGGGTTTTGTGAAGCAATTTTTGTTTCGTAGTATGTTGCATAACATCCCGCCATCTTGTCTCTATCACTATTGGCTAAAATAAAATTTAAAATTCCGAAAATTAGCAGAAAACTGATGTTGGTACTGTTAGTGGATGAAATTCATTCTTTTTATTCACATATTATTATTTTTCACTTGTTTTCAATATTATAAAATACATTTTAGTAAATAAGTTTCCGCTCCTCGCGATACTGAAGTATACAAGGTCATTTGCGCATCAAATTTGCCTCGTAATTTTACGAGGGCTCGTAAATAGAGCTCCATACAAATTTTGATAGTTCTTTTACGAGGCTCGTAAATCTACGAGGTTTACGAGGCTTTTACGAGTTTAAGGGAAGACCGCTATTATTTAACCGGTCTGGTATAATTGAGNTTTTTGTTTCGTAGTATTTTCCATAACATCCCGCCATCTTGTCTCTACCAGTATTAGCTAAGATAAAATTAAAAATGCCGAAAATTAGCAGAAAACTCATGATAGTACTGTTAGTGGATGAAATTCACTCTTTTTATTCACATATTATTATTTTTCATTTATTTTCAATATTATAAAATACATTTTAGTATATAATTTTCCGCTCCTCGGCAATACTGAAGTGTACGAGGTCATTTGCGCATCAAATTTGCCTCGTAATTTTACAAGGGGCTCGTAAATAGAGCTCCATACAAATTTTGACAGTTCTTTTACGAGGCTCGTAAATTTACGAGGTTTACGAGGCTTTTACGAGTTTAATGGAAGACCCTTTAAAAGGTCTGGTTTAATTGAATACGTACTCGACTTAATGGTTTACAATATACCCAAATAAAAGTTATAATATTTTGTTTACTTTATTGTATTAAACTGTCGAAGTCAAATAAAACAGGGCATGAATAAATCGTTTTGTACTTGGTACAAGTCTGGTCATTTTCGAACTAGTTCGGTTTCTGTCAGGAAATTCTAGTTGTAAATTAGTATTTTTGCTGACTAGTTTGGGATTTCACTGCAGGGCAAGCATGCGCCCAAACACACGTGGGAAATTCGATGGGCACTTACGCAAAAATTTGAAAACTTTTTCAGCGTTTCTCACTTCGCAACCGACTTGTGCGACTCTGGGCATAAGGTTTTTGACATGCCCTCATCCGCCATCAGTCTCCGTACTTAAGGAAGGGTGTACGTCGCCTTCTGGCAGACAGAGCGCAAGCCCATCGCCTAGTCCGAATGCCATATGGCCGCGGGGTGGTCGTCACATAGTTTAGATGAATCGTCGCACTTTGTTGACGTCGACGTTGCAATGTGCAGATGCTATCGTCGCACTTTGTAAGGATATACTATAATATGGTCGTGCCCATCGAAAATGTCAACACTATCGATAGTTTTGATTAAAACAGTCAAAAAACAAAACTCTTATTGAAAATGAGATCAGAATTGCGAAAATATGACGATATTTTTTTAAGGAATAAAAGTTTATCAACGATTTTTAGCTTCAAGTAGCATTTGCGCTCTGATATATGTATGTTACTGAATAATGTATGTATGAGTGAATACTATCGATAGTGCTTACAAAACCATCGATGTTTTCAATAGTCAATAACCATCGATACTATCGATAGTGCCATCGATAGTTTTCCAGCTCTACTAATCAGTATCCGTAGTTGTTTCAGGTCGCTAACAGTCA